CAACTCAACTCAACTCAACTCAACTCAACTCAATCAGATACGGGTTTGTCTATCACGAATCGAGTTAGTACTAACGCAACACCGCTAGCAAAAAATCACGCCACCTATCCAAAAGGACGTTCCATAGGTACCAGCACCCTGCAGGTAGTTGTTTCGTAACGAGTTGACGTCGTTTTATACGAAAAAGACGCCTTTTTTTCGGATGTTGCCAACGGGGGGCAACAGTGTCAAGTCGGGTCTAGCCAGGCCAGCTAGGTGCGACAGCAGGTATTAGGTGGGAGTAGGTAGGCTTGCAGAGTCGTTTGTGGAGGCGTTGTGGAGGCGTTGTGGAGGCGTTGTGCTGAGGACAGAGAGAGTTATTTGTTGCAGCTGCTGCAGCTGCAGCGTTCTGTCGAACGCGACCGCTGCGGGTGCTGACTAAGCGTTGCAACACTTTCGCATGATCGGAGTACTCCTAACACTCCTCTCTCCGTTACACGGTTATACATATTATTTTCTAGAATGTCTCAACCGCTACGTCTTCCTCCGCAACATGCGAGAGAAGCAGTCGACTTTTCCAATATACTCGAAAACCACTATGTCTCGGAAGATCAAGCCGAGTCATCGATACAAAATTCGGACACAGGTCTATGTCAGAGATGCCGCCTGGCCCAACCTAAGCTTAAAGAGCTTCTGTCTCTAGACCCTGAGAGTATTCCCCGGAGAGAGCGTACCGTGCTCGAATTTCACTCCGCGGACGATCTTTTCCTGAATTCGGAGTGTTCTCTATGCCAGGCCTTGAATTTCATCTGTCCCAGGACTTGGTTTAATGATACGAGGTGTCATGCTCGTTTAGTAGTCGAGCCTATTGAAAATCACTTGGAAGGCTATGGAAGAAGACACCTCACTCGACATTCATGCTTAACTCTCGCGTACCCAAACCTAATGCCTAGTGGCGTTGATAAAGAGAGGATAGATATCTTTGATTCAAGGGCTCTTCCATGGATCCAGGACGCTGCAGGGTACATCGCGGAAAAGTCAGCGCACGAACAAGAGGCTGGGACTACCTTTGCATCTTCGTTACCATCTCACGTTGATTTCAGGATTCTTCGGAAGTGGTTGGAATTTTCTCAACGCAGAGAAGAAACCGATGAAGCGACCAACTCCGTTCGGAACCTAATTGTTATTGATTGCCAAAGCAGGGAGATAATCAAGGCACCTCCGGCAAAGTACGTGGCATTATCTTATATTTGGGGACAACAAAAACCAAGAGAAAAGGACGTGGAAGAAAAGGAAGGTCGCCTGTACTTAACAGGCCCGCTTGGAAAGACGATCGAGGATGCCATCATCGTTACTCAACGGCTTAACCTACGCTACCTCTGGATTGATCGATATTGTATACCGAAGGATGATCTCGAGCACCAGATTAGTAGAATGCACGAGATTTACGGAGGGGCTTATGTTACCATCATAGCTGCAGCCGGAAATGGCCCTGAACACGGGATCCCCGGAGTCAATAACAGGACACGAATCAAACCACCCCCGGTTACAATCGGATCACGCACTTTGCATGCAACCTTTCCTTCCCCAAAACTACTCGTTGAAGGAAGCAAATGGTATTCCCGAGGCTGGACTTTCCAAGAAGGCTTGTTATCTTGCCGTCGGCTTGTTTTCACGGACCATCAAGTCTATTTCCATTGCGACAACTTCGTCTTTATTGAGGCCTTCAATACAAGTTTACCGGGCGGAATCGACCTCAAGAACAGCTTTTCCCCTCCCCTTGGGACTTTGTTTAGCTTTGCGTCAGCTAGGCAGTCGAGAGAAGGAGCCCCCTGGGATAAAATTATGCGATATTGCACCTTGGACTTGAAGTATCCGGAAGACACAGTAAATGCAATCCTGGGAGTACTTCATTATTACCAAGAGGGAAAGTATAGACCTTCAACAAGAAAGGATGAAATTGACCATCCAAAAACTGCTTCCATAAGGCATATCACCGGATTGCCGATCTCGAAAGATACAGGTCAATTTTCAACTAATGACAAAACATGGGAAGACTCGATCATTCACGCTTTCTTCTGGAAAAGTAAAGCACCTGGAGATCGCCGAAGACCCGAGCGGACGCCATTTCCATCCTGGTCTTGGGCTGGTTGGAGATGCGAATGCTATATTGGGGGCTTGGTAAAGTGGTCGAGCTGGAATGATTATGCACCCAAACTACTTCGAAGCCTGACCACGTACCTTCCTTCCATATCCATCTACATGGATGAACCAAACAAGGTACTCGAAGCCACGGAATATGAGACAATGTTTGATGAGATGCGGGACTTCTCCAAAGTCTACTACCTACGTGTCACTGCCCCCACGGTCGAGGCGAGGGTAGTTACGTATAACGGCATAACAGACGACTGGCGCAAGTTTGACAACACAGGAAAGAAATTTGCCTTGGAATGTAGCGGAACCGAGAACCCAGTCCCTCTCAACTTGACATCAAACTCTATCTATCACCAACCTATGTCACCTTCTGGTTACTCCTGCCTTGCAATCATTCTAGATTATGATCCTAAATACGCCGACGCACGCGAATTCTATTTCGACTCGGATGCCTGTCTGCTTGTAGTTGGGAAAAATAAAGAAGACTATTACGAGAGAATTGGAGTTGCAAAGATTAGCAGGGAAGCTCTTGGAAAAGCACATGTAGAAGAGCGGAAGAACATCAAGTTCGGATAACTTCAGGGTTTAAAGTCATCTAGTGCTGCTCGGACAGAGGGCAGTCTTCGCAGCCCGCTGCACCAGAGCGATAACGGAAACACACGGAGCTGAGATTGAACGGAAGGAGATATAGTAGAGCTCTTTTTATAGCAATTTCTAAATCACCCATCAGAATACGGATAGAAGGAGACTCACCAGCATGCTACGTCCCGTCAAGTTATCAGGAACCCTATTCAATATCGAAGGACCGATTAGGCAGAGCCACGACAGCGAGCGTACCATAGACTCCCTAACAGGTTCTATCCCACGGTCGGGTGTCACGCTGCCACACACAGGTCGGCGGAATCTCGACCCTTAGACCATTTCTTAAGCGATCACCATCTATAGCTGGTCTGTTCCGGTCGCGAGGAGCCGGGGATGGTATCTGCTTACCAGAAAGATGCATGCACGGCATGCAACGCGGGTCCGTTGGCTGGGTCACGAGTGCGAACATCATGTTCTCGAGCCTGCGGCAGCCGGCAATAATGTCGTCAGTACGGTGAGGAAGAATGCAGCCATCCAGCAAATCGCAACTGGCTTATTCACGCAGAACTTTGCTCCGTACCCTCTGGCGCGCATGCACCCGCGCCGGGAAGCTAGATTGGTTAGCTGAAGCGGAGGCGGGCACGGCCGCGACCGACCATCAGCCTCATCGGAGAATTGCAGGTCTGGATGGCATCAACTCGAGTGCGGACAAATAGCGGCGACTTTTTAGTGCGTAGATAAGGTCTCAAACGGCATACTGCGTAGCGGACCGAAGAAACCCAAGGGTCGCCAGCAAGACACCAAAGAGATCGGCGGGAGCGAGGCGCAAGCGTAAGGCTTTTTGCCGGTGAGCGGACAGCGCTGTGCGCCCACGCCTGCTTCTGCTGCTGCACGTCAGCCTGTCAGTGTGCGAGTGGCCTGGTCGACGGGCGGGGAACGCCACAGTGGGACAAGCCGCGCAGCCGCCAGGCTACATAGTAGGGCAACCGGTAACGACAACAACATGAGCCGGCGTGAGGCTCAAGAACACGCGGCGTCGCTGATGATGCGCTGCCCAAATGCGGCCGGGGGCGACTTGGACTGTCTTGTCCGGATCTCCGCACACAGGCCCGGGACGCGGTGCTTGGCGCGAGAGTGGTACCAGTCGCGTCGAGCCCCGGTACATGCGCATAGCGATTGTTGTTTTCGTGTTGAGCGGAGAGAAGTGCAGTTTGCAGGGCTGGATAGATTGTTTGCGCAAAAAAAAGTATGTAGTAATGCTGCGGCGAAGATGAAGAAGAGATGGCCCGGTGGCTGGTTTCACGGCATCCGGGGGTGGGGTGATGCACAGGGCTGACTCGGTGCTAAAAATGGCATTTGATCTCGACGTCTTGGTTCTTCTGCAGTCAGTCAAGCCGAAAAACACCACTCGTGCCCACTTCTAGCATGGATATCCCCTCGGCCGATGCCGTCCCAAGGGAACCTGTCCACACCCCATCTCTGCTCATATCATGGCAGCTGACTCACTGCACACCGCGCCTGTCCTACACATGCCAACCATGGGAATGCTGGACCTGCGGCTTGTGTTTGGACACATACTCGGGGCTTGGAAAGCAGCAGGATAGACCCTACACGATTTAACATGGCGAATATAAAGTTGTTGCCTCCCTTCGGGAAAGATACCGCTCAGAAGGCACCTAGTTGATTGAGAAGGTACTCGCATCGAATCCCTCATCAAATTCGCTTTTCAACTTCGTCGGCGATGCATTTCTCGCGCTTCATCCTCGCCGCAGCACTCGGTGCTACCTTCGTCGAGGCCTCTTCAGCTGGTCATCGTGGCCCTCCGTCTGACAGCGATGATGACAATACCAATATCAATTCCCCGTCTGGGCCCAGCGACGAGCCCTCTGCTCCCAGCGATATCACCTCAACACCATTCCAGAGCTCCTCCGCACCAAGCAACCCCCCCTCGCTCCCCAGCAACGGCTCCTGCCCTCCCGTCTGGAACGATGTCTCCTCGGCTTTAAGCGCCGTCTTCCTCGATAACGGCCAATGCAGCGATCTCGCCCGCGCCGCCATTCGATACGCCTTCCACGACGCCGGCGCCTTCTCCATGAGCCTGCCCTTCTACCCCCCTGCGGCCGGCGGCGCAGACGCCTCGCTTCTGCTCTCCCCCGACGAGATCTCCCGCGGCGAGAACAACGGCCTGCAAAAGTACCACGGCTTCCTGCAGCACTTCTACGCGCAGTACCGCGACCGCGGCGTCGGCGCCGCAGACCTGATCCAGTTTGCCGGCGCCCACGCCATCGCTACGTGTCCCTCCGGGCCCGTCGTGCGCGCCCTCGTCGGCCGGACCGACGCGACCACCGCCGCGCCGCCGGGTCTTCTCCCTGCCGGCTTCGGGCCAAACTCCGCCCAGGACGTTCTCCTAGCCCTGTTTGAGGACAAAGGCTTCAGCGCGACGGACCTAGCCGCTCTCATCGGCGCGCACACGGCCTCGCGCTCCTTCACGCAGAGGGAAATCCGCTCCGGCACGCCGCAGGACTCGACGCCGGGGCAGTGGGACGTGCGCTACTACGCCGAGACGTACGACCCGCCGCGAGGCGTGCAGTCCTTCGAGTCGGACATCAACCTGTCGAGCCCGAACACGACTGTTGGCCGCGAATTCGCCGCCTTCGTCGGCAATCAGGGCAAGTGGAACGGCGCGTTTGTGGCTGCGATGGAGCATCTGAGCGTGCTGGGTATTCCGCAGGAGGATGTTGCGCGCTTCGTGGACTGCACCGGTGCGCTGCCGAAGGGGACACATGCTCGTAATGTGAGGGCGATGCCGATTAATGATCGTGCGCGATGAGTAAGGTTCGGTCGTGTGGTTTTTGCTTCTTTATTACTTTCCGGCGATCTTAATTCGGTGATGGAGCCGGGCATTCAGGAGCGCATTGTCGGGTTCGAGTTGAAGCATGTAGAAGCCCTTCCATTCTCCACTTTCTACTTCTGCTGCCTGCATGTAGACAGTCCGATAGCATTCTGGTTTCCTTGATGACGTGTAGTCGGTTGCTCTTTGTTTAGTTAATAACTAATGCCGTACACCACCCTCCTGCTTTCTTTCTCTTTTGTGGCTGTCATGGGGGTATAAGCTTACCAAAGGGGGCGTTTGTGGACGTTCTGATTGAAGAGGTTTTATACTATAGCAAGGATATCATGATACGACCTCAACTGAGAGTATGTAAGCACTAGCAAGAAATATCAGAAACGTTGCACATGACGATGCTGCTGTATGTACGTACCGTAAGGCCTGGAAAAATAAAAGAGTCAGATGTACTCCATTCACTCCAAATAAATCGTTTTGAACGCCCGCTTAGCCTTGACCCAGGCTGTTAAAAGCACCCAGCCTATGCCGATACGATGGGCTATCGGTCCATTCCATGCTATGACCATAACACCAACAACGGGAATACCAACCGAGTGTGCTTCTCGATCGAAAAACGTCCAGTCAAGCCCCTTAGGGCCGAAAAGAGGTTTGAGTCGCTGTCTCGAGACATAATCGGAACCGAAAAGCTCATAAGGACTTGGAGGATCTCCTAGATCACGTTTAAATTGACTCCTTCGGCTTCCCTTTGAAACATCCGTATTAAAATCATGCAAATCTTTGCATTTTTCGGAACCATCATAGAGGCTTAACGTCAGTAGCTCGCAAGAAATCGTTCCCTTCCTCCTCAGTGCGAGCAGGGTATCCGCGCTGAACATCGGCTCAATCGAGCTGACCACGCCGACGGTTTTTGTGTTCTGTTTGTTTAAGACGTTGAGCACAACGTGTTCTCCATAGGGGCCACGGTCCGTCTGCAGCTTCGCCGCGAAAGAGGCCGTTTGCCCACGTCCTCTTAGAATGCCACGGTGAAATTCTCCGTACATTCCCAATGCCATCAACTCTTCTTCGTCATCCTTGACACATGGGGACAGGTTGACGCTAGAATTCCCGTATTGGAGGAGGACCTCTGATCGCATATTAATAAGGGATGGGTATCGCGAATCCATTGTAATTGCGAGTTTGGCGAAGTCGTCTCCTAAGTTTCGGAATGGCCAGTCCGCTTCAATGCATCCTTGTCTCCACGCGACGGCAAACTGCATTTGCACAGATTTTCCATAGAGAATATTGAGAACTTCAGTCTCTCCTGGGGTGCTGGCTTCACCCGGCTCTTCCCTCCATTCGTTTTCATCTTCTTGGAATTCATTTTCGGCTTCAAGGCAGCGGGCTAAATTCTGATTTTCCGGTTTATATTGCATTTCATCCCTTCTGTTCGGATACACGCTTTCCCACTTAAGGTTCTCCCCTTTACAACATCCGGAGTTGGGGACTTCTTCCTGGTATGACCATTCGGTAAGAGTTATGTGCTCGCGGATGACTGAGAGATCCCAGTCACTTTTAATTGTTCGCATGGAGACAGGTCCTTCCACGGAGGCCCAAGACCAACTTGGGAGTAAAACTTTGGCAATTTTCAATGGCCGACGAATCCAGGTTTTTAGACCCCGTTTGGTTTCAAAGTCCCAGTGTAGAGCCTCGTCGAAATCTATCCTCGGTAATCCAAAAAGCATCGAATCATCCTCTGGGTATAGAGCGTGCGAGATTCCGGAGAAGGCATTGTAAATATCGCTTGCATGACTGAGATGCCGTTGCGAGTATCCTTCAAGATGATTGCCCCAATTGATTAATGTATCTTGCCGTAAGGCATCGACAGTATCATACAAATGTAATCTATTGAGGTTAGCCGGACCATCAGTGATACCGAAAGTATAATCATGATTAGGGCCTGGACATTTGAAAAAAACTCCTAGTGGCGTAAAAAAAAGGCTCCTCTTCGAAAATATGGCCTCTTGGTGGGTCCACGCGCGCGTCAACCAGGGAGAGTCTAATAGGACATGTTCCGGGTCCATGGGACTGTTGAGGAAGGTTACTCCGTCTATAGTGCCTCCTTGCACGCCGTCAGCAGCCGGCCGAATTCCTGGGATACCATTGTTCATATCCCCATGGGTTACGACCAAGACTAGTTTCGCAGTGCCGAATATCTTGTGCATCGAATTGATTTGATGTTGCTTGCCCACTTCATCGTCCTGGACAATGCATAGTCGGTCGACCCATAGATATTGCTCCCCAAGCTCTTGACAGGCTTTGATCGCATCTCTAATTGTAGGTGATAACTTTGAAAAGATGATCCCTCCATCTTTCATAAGATCCTTTTTTGTGAAGCTCGTAGCTATTTCACCGGTTGGATTTTTCCCCCATACATAGCTTAGTGCTATGTATCTGCTTTGTGGATCTTTTTGAACAAGCTTTTTTCTCTGTATGTCAATAAGAAGCAAGTCTTTCGGGACTTTCAGGTCGGTAAACTGGTCGTTGCATGTCGCATGTTTGTCCTCGCATTGTTTAATCCATGTTTTGACCCTCTCCCAAGTGACCATCAGCATCAATTTGTCGACGAAATTCTCCTTTACAGGTTGGTCGGACGATTCTTCAACCATCATCTGCCGAGTTTCCAAACGTACGGAACCGTCAAATACCAGGGTATGTCGGTACCTAGACCCGGTGTCGACTGAATCGCATTTCATGTTTTGTAGATAAGCTGCGTGTTGACTCATACTATGCCGTATAAACTTGCAAAAGGAACAGTGTTGATTGGAGAAGTCGCGGTCTGAGGTCCTTAGAGAGACCTCATATTGAGATGAACGTCTTGGCTGCGGGCATCTCAACAAATGCCAGGGTCTTAGGTGTTGGCAGAAGTAGCAGAGACCGTTCTCGGGATTGACCAGTTTTAGACAGTCTCCGCAATCCGTGTGGAAGATCTGATGTCTGGCCTTTTTCCCGCCAAAAAGGTCCACGTGTTGGCAAAAGGAGCAAAGTCCGTTCCCGGGTTTGGCCAGTTTGAAACACTCTCCGCAATCCGTGTCGAAGACCCTATGTCTGTCCTCTTTCCAGTTATTAAGGTAACAGTGTTGGCAGAAGGAGGAGCAGAATCCGTTCTCGGGCTTGGCCAGTTTGTAAATATCTTCGCAATATGTGAAGATCTGATATCTGGCTGACCTGCGAGATTTCCGGTGTTTTCGCAAAACTTCGCAAGATTCGCAAAATAACGGCCCATTTTGGTTAGACGCGGACTCCTCCGTTGCCGGCTCTTGTAAACGTACTGTGTGTGAATAGATCCAATTCAACATCTTGGTGCCTTGAGGAGGCAATAAGAGTGAGAACAAGCCGTGTTATATTAAACATATCCCCCAAGTCCCTTCAGACAATGCCACGTCGCTATGCAGCATCTCGTGAGCTTACAGAAGACGTACCTTGTTCTTTTCGCGATCGTGTCAAAAGCCTATTGGTGCGATCTGGTTCAGCAAAAATCCTTGATCACAAACTTACAAGGCTTGTGGAGGGATGACCAATGGCCGTCTCTTAAGTTAACGACCCTGCAGTAGGTAGACGGCAGGTGCAAAACTTACGCAGACCTACCCATGGCATTCAACCATATTCAGCTGCCGATGCTGCAGACCGGTGACTTAATCTGGACTCGTGCAGGGGAGATCAAAGACAGAAAGACAGTAACATCGTTCACCCATATCCGAGTCCCGCCGTTCAGCAGATCCAGTCAATCAGAGCCTGTCGCGCGGGCTCCGGACGATGTGGTCGCGCAGCAGCGACGCACTAAACCGCCGGGTCAATCAACCAGATGCAAAAGGTAGAACCAGTATCTCCTAGCTGGCACTAAGAGATGCTGACTGCAAGCTCTATATATGAGCGATCGTGGCAGGCGCTGCCACACTAGAAGCGTCAATATCTATGACCGTAAGCTCGAAAACCGGAGGAAAATGGTCAAGCTTTGAAGATTGCAAACTCGCCTAGCCTCCAAGCAATACAACGAAGATAGAGAGCATATTTATAGCGAAGAGTAGAGTAGGCATGCAAGCGGCAGAAACTAGCGCGCCGGCACTTCATTTCAAGAACATTCCGCCAGGAAGACGCTTGAGTCAGCGACGAAGAGAAAATAGGCCAGCCATCACATGTGTCGATGGGAAGAAAGGAACATCGTCATCAAACCGAAGTGCCAGCCGCGGCAAGGCTGAGCCCAAATCAAGCAACCAAGCACCGCGATGACGAGCTCAGCGGACAGACTGTGGGACAAGAGGACGACCTTGTTTCCGCACGACATCATCGCCCAGGGATGGCATTGGATATGGAGAGGATGTGCCCAGGGCAATAACCTTCTTCGCCCTGCCTCGCTCACTCATGCTTGTCCTTGTCGCGCCGCCCGTGCACAGCACTGTCTCCTATTGCATTGCACGCACGAAGCGCGTCCGGGCGGCGTCGTCGGCAGGGAAAAAAGATCCTGGCCCCCCCTACACAGCCACGCACGCTTGCACGCAAGGAGCTGCCCTGCAGCAGTGGCCAGATAAGCTTATACCAACCGGTGCGGTGCAGTCTTGCGGTTAGGGCGCGGTCGGAATCTGCCTCGTCGGCGTACCACGTACAAACAGCACGGTGGTGGGTGCGATACGCGTTGTTGCTGGCGTGCGTACTCGTGTTTTTCTTTTGGCCTCAACCCCGGCGTCGGCGCCGCTACTGTTTCAGACCCTGGGGTGAGATCGCGCGCGATGATGTAAATGCCGTCGAAGGCTGGGTCGGCGTGGTGGTAGGTGGGTGAGCCACCCGGACTGACGTGGCCTGGGGTCGGGGAGTGGAAGGGACAAGGGGACGGCGACGACAGCAGGGCTGAGCAGTGAGAATGTTTGGGAAGACGAGCCGGGTTTCGGAGAGAACGATAAGCGCACGCTTACCTACGCGGTGGGGTTTGCACATGGCTGTCAGCCCAAGACAGCCCTACCATGTACTGAGCGGCACTGCGGCGCTAATGCGCGCCATCGCCATCCGGGGATTTTTTTCTTTCAACGGCCGAATACAACCTATATGGAGCCGTCCAAGCAGCCATATTCCAGCTCCACCACGCGCACAGGCGATATGCACAATAGCGATAGCAGCAACAGCTAAGCCTCGAGCAACACATGGAGGCAGGATTGCGTCGCGAGCACGTTGAATCTCGGTTCCAGGCGGCTTCTGAGCTCCGTGGCTGTCTAATTAGGGTGGTCCCGGCAGGCGGTGCACAGACGGCGGGGTAGCGGTGGCGGTATCTACGTGGTATCGATCGTGGGCTGAGGGAGCGTTTGGCAGGGCCATTGGGCTGCTTACGCATGCTGTCTTCGTATGGCTTTGTCCGACCGCGTGGCTTCTGCGATGGAGAGTACTCCCCCTTATCGTTCGTTCGGTGGTCGCGCAATGGAGGAGGAGCTGTGGTTAACGCGCGCGGTTCGCCCGCCGTGGGAAAATGGCGCGCGCATCTTTGGGGTGTGCACCGGAGATTAGGAGATGCAGCACTGCCATGGACGGGAGCGGTGAGTTCTGGAAAAGACGGACGGTGGTCATGGGGCAGGCAATGATGTGCGGGCGCAAAATGAAGATGGACCGGTGGGAGAGCAGAGACAGGCGTTGGCGGTGACGTCTGGAGAGACCCCTAAAACTTGGCCCCGGCCTGCCCCGAGCGTCTATCCAACAACGTTATCTCCAACGACGATCATCCACCACCCACCACCACACCTTTGCCCTCTCTTTGCGCCCCGACGTGGCCAGCCACCCAGCATCCATCTCTCTGTCCATCTCTGTCCATCTCCAACGAACATGGTGCCGCCGCTGCCTGCGCCCGTCTCCGCTGCAACCGCCACGACGCGCGAGCGACAGCCACAGCGACAACGACAATAGCCAAGCCAAGATGTCGACCCGCAAAGCTAGTGCCTGCAAAATTGCGGTACGCGAAAGCGCCTCTAACCCTCTGTGGTCATGTTGCTGTTTCAATCTCGCGGGGGGCCACCCGAGGCGCCCTGCGCACGCTCAATGATCGCCTCTATTTCATTCTCACCAGATACAAAAGCTATACCTCGTCGTCTGCTTGTTCCTCACGGCTTTTGCTTGCCTCAATCCTTCTCTGAGTCTTTCAGAGGTCCATTCCTTTTTCCCCACACTCATTCTCAGTCAGTCATTAATAATGCGCTTCAACTCTGCCACCGTTGGCGGCGCGGCCCTTGCCGGTGCCAGCCTTTCCGCAGCCCAAGACTACTGCTCCGACCGGCCCACCAGCTGGATCACCACCTACGTGACGCTGCCCGCCACGCCCGCCACGCCCGCCACGCCTCCGGCTCAGTCCACCCCGCCCGCCGTTGCCAGCGTCCAGGAGGTCACCAGCGCCGTGACGGTGTCGCCCGTTCCTGCAAGCACCCCCAACACCCCGGCCGTCAACTCCCCGCCGCCCGTCAACACGCCCAACACCCCGGCGGCCTACACGCCCTACAACCCCGGCACCCCGGCGCCCCGCTACTCCACCTCGACCATCTACACGACCAGCCAGACGGTGGACTCGACCGGCGGCACCAAGGTCGTCACCGTGCCTCAGACGACGACCGTCTGCCCCGTCACTGAGTCGGAGGGCGTTCCCACCCCTGCGGCGCAGACTTCCCAGGCCGTTACTCCCGCCGAGGTTGTCACTCCCGCCGAGGTCACGTCGGTCGTCACTCCGACGCCCAAGTACAGCACTTCGACCATCTGGACCACCAGCCACTCCGTCGACCAGTCTGGTGGTACCAAGGTCGTGACTGTTCCTCACTCGACGACCGTCTGCCCTGTCACCGAGTCCTCGACTCCCGTCAACACCCCGGCCCCCATGCCTGAGGTCACCCCGGAGGAGGTCACCCCAGCCGAGGTTGCTCCCACGACGTCCAGCTACACGTGCACCAACACCAAGTACGTCACTGTGGGTGAGCCCGAGACTGTCACTGTGACCGCCTCGGCCCCAGTAGACACGCCGGAGCCGTCCATTGCCGACTACACCTCGGCTCCAGCGGACACGCCGTCGTCGTCCATTGCCGACTACACCTCGGCTCCAGTGGACACGCCGTCGTCGTCCATTGCTGACTACACCTCGGCGCCCAGCCCGAGCCCCAGCTCCAGCGCCCCGGCCTTCTCCGCGCCGGTTATCACCCCGGCTGAGGTCACTTCAGTCGTGACCCCTGCGCCTCAGTACAGCACGTCGACCATCTGGACCACCAGCCACTCGGTTGACACCACTGGCGGTACTCAGGTCATCACCGTGCCCCACAGCACCACCGTGTGCCCTGTAACGGCGTCTGGTGGTGTCCCGACCCCGGCCAACACCCCGGCCTACACGCCCTCGAGTCCTGCTGCTGGCGTCTCTTCGGTCGCTGACCTGGGCTCTACCCCGGCGTACACGCCCACTCCGGTCGTGACCCCCACGCCTCAGTACAGCACGTCGACCATCTGGACCACCAGCCACTCGGTTGACACCACTGGCGGTACTCAGGTCATCACCGTGCCCCACAGCACCACCGTGTGCCCTGTGACGGCGTCTGGTGGTGTCCCGACTCCGGCCAACACTCCGGCTTACACGCCCTCGAGCCCCGCTGCTGGCGTCTCCTCGGTCGCCGACCTGGGCTCCACCCCGGCGTACACGCCCGCCAACACCCCCACCAGCGTCGCTGTTGACACGCCCGTCTACACTCCCGTGAACACTCCCGTCAACACTCCCAGCAGCGTTGCCGTCGACACCCCGGTGTACACTCCCGTGAACACTCCGGCCTCGACCCCGCTATCTGACGTTGATGGCCTCGGCTCTACTACTCCTGTTCCCTCTTCCCCGGCGGCCTCTACCCCCGCTGTCGGCCCCGTTGCTTCCACCCCGGTTGCGTCTTCCCCTGTTGTCGACCCCGTCGTCTCTTCCCCGACCCCGGCCGATGACAGCACCTTCTACAAGACCAACCTGCACACGGCGACTCAGCTCATCAACCACACCCCTACGCCGGCTGGTGACAGCACCTTCTACAAGACCAACATGCACACCGCGACTGAGTACATCAACCACACGCCGACTCCTGTCGCCGGTGACAGCACCTTCTACAAGACCAACCTCCACACTTCCACCCAGATGATCGACCACAGTGCGACCGCCACCGCTTCTCCCTCTAGCGGCCAGTCCGAGGGCCTCCTCGGTGGTCTCGTCGAAGGTCTTGGTGAGCTCGTGACCGGTGTGGCCACCTTCATCGAGGGTGAGGTTGAGACTGGCGCTTGCTCCTTCCAGAACTACACTCTGCCCTCGTCGCTCTTCGGCACGGCTATCTCGCCCCAGAGCTGGGACACTGCGTCCAACTGCGGTTCTTGCGTCAATGTCAAGGGTCCCAAGGGCAAGTCTATCAAGGCCATGGTCGTCGACAAGGGCGAGTCCGACTGCCCGGCCGACAACCTCAACCTGTTCAAGGACGCGTTCGAGGAGCTGGCTGACCTTGCCATTGGCTCTGTCGACATTGAGTGGGAGTACACGGACTGCGGCTTCGACTCGCCGCTGAAGCTGATCAACGCCGAGGGTGCGGGCGCCGACCTGTTCTCCATCCAGGTCCAGGGAGCCAACCTGCCCATTGCCAAGCTCGAGGTCTCGATTGACGGCGGCAGCTCCTGGACCGAGACGAAGCGCAGCGAGTCCAACTTCTTCGAGCACAGCTCTGGCTTCGGCGTCGACCTGGTCGACATTCGCGTCACGGCGTCGTCGGGCAAGACGGTCACGCAGAAGAACGTGTCGTGCGGCTCGGGCCTGTCGATTGATGCCGAGCTCAACTTCTAAGCTGGCTGCTCGCGGTAGTTCGTGAAGCAGCAGAGCTTTCCCCTCTTTCGTCGCTTTTGTTCTTTTTTTGAAGTCTTGAATCTTGACAGGAGGATGTCCTTGGTATCCATCCCTTTGATTTTTGTATAGTTTAAGATTCATGTAGCATATGTTAATACCCACATAATTTGGCCTGCGGTGTCGTCGTCTTCCTTTTTTGGACACGCGGCAAATAACGGAAAAGAATCTTTTGAAAAATTTGGTCTTGTGTTCTCGGTGCTCGCTCGCCTCGCTCTTGTACTAGAGATCTCTCTTCTCTCTGCTTACACATGCCGCCAGGCAGCCTAGGTAGGTAGTAAGTTCCCACCCGCCCTCTCACTCACGCACCCACTCGCTCACCCACTCACTCCATATCAAAAGCAATGACAATCCGCCCCGGCACATCGCCCCGACGCAACTGTTCCACACTAGCCGGCAGCTCCCGCAAAGGCCTCACCTCACAGATTTGCTTCAGCAGCCCGCGGCGCGCATACTCCATGGCGGCGGCGGCATCGGCCTGGTTCCCGACCAGCGTGCCCAGAATGTGCACGTTCTTGAAGACAATGAGGTTCGGGTCCGCGCCGATGGTGACGCTGTCGGCGGGGGGCAGCGCCACGCAGACAACCTTCCCGCCCGTGCGGTCGCCTAGGTACGCAATCGCGTGTTTGTAGGCCTGGGGCGCCGTGACGACGACGCCGTGCGCGCCGACGTTGTCGCAGAGGCGCTTGACCGCGGCGGGGGTGTCGGGTTCCTCTCGAAAGTCGACGAACGCCTCGGCGCCCATGGAGAGGCAGAGCGCGCGCTTCGCCGCGCCCGTGTCCACCACGATGGGCCGCATGCCCATGATGCGCGCGAACTGCACGCCGTTGATGCCGACGCCGCCGCCGCCGCCGGAGAAGACGACGAATTCGCCCGCGCGGAGCCCGGAGTCTACTAGCGCGCGGTGCATGGTGCTGGCGGAGCACATGACGGGGGCGGCGAGCTCGGGGGGCACGTCGGCGGGGATGGGGGTGGCGTACTTGGCGGGGGAGAGGACGTACTGCTGGTACGTGCCGGTGACGCGCAGCCCCGTCAGCACGGCGGCGGCGCAGTAGTTGTCGCGGCCGCTCCAGCAGGCGTGGCACGCGCCGCAGGTGTCGTGAATGGGCTTGATGCCGGCGCGGGCGCCGAGGGGCCATTTCTGGGGGGAGACGGAGGAGCCGCGCTGGACGACTACGCCGGCGCCTTCGTGGCCGGGGGAGCGCACGTTGAAGGTGGACATGGGGGGGGAGGCCCAGTCGTGCGCCATGAAGTGGATGTCGCTGTGACAGATGCCGGTGTGGGTGAGGCGGATGAGGATGTCGTCGGGGCCTGTTGGGGATGCGTTAGTGTGTGTAAGGTTTGGGTTGTGTTTTGTTGTGTGGAGAGGGGTAGGAAGTAGAGAGGCGCACCAGGCGAGGGCACGTCGACGTCCTGGATCTCGACGTGGAAGTCGGGGCCCTCGTTGACGACGACGCCGGCCTTGCATTTCGTGGGGATGTCGAAGTGCGGCTCATCATCTTGTTGCTGCTGCGGCGGCTGGGTTGCGTTGGTCATGGTGGTGGCGGGGTTTGTCTGTCTGACTTCTTGCTTGCTCGTGCGAGGAAACACGTACCCTTTCCAGCCCTTCTCGCCCGCACACACGGGCTCACGCATTCCTTAAGTACAGTCTGCGCACACCCGTCCGACCACCTAGCAGTGCATCGCCCTCACCCACCCATCGCGGAAAGCATTTGCGCGGCTAGGGACGTCGCGGGCGCGCCATTGGCCTAGCTGGATGGATTCAACTGCTTCAATGTGGTGGGACGTCGGACAGGCGGGCGCGGGTGCGGGGTAGGGGCGGGGGCGGCCGGCAAACCCCCCACGTTTGGCCTGTAGGTAGTTGTTGAGGGTTGACGGGCTGGCGGGTGGTGAAGATCGACGGGAGGGGTCGTCGTCGTCGTCGTTGGTCGGACTTCACTTCATCTCTTGTCTGCAAATGTCGTGGCCGCCTCTCTCGCACCTCAGACATCTCTCGTACGGAATGACCGTAGGCAGAGCGAGTTTCAATCGCAGCCATGGAACGCGTCGCGACACGCACCTGCCTCGCGCCTTCCCTCCTCTCCAGAGACAGCACCGGTCCGCATCACCCTCTCCTCCGCCTTTTCCACCCCATCCTCTCTTACCCTCTCTCCCCCAACCCCTCCCACTCTCAGCGCCATGAAGCGCTTCGCTCCCCCCGCCGGCCCAGAGCCGCCCCACAAGCGCGCGCGCCTCGACTCCAACGCGCCTGCGAACAATCAGTCGTCCGGAAGCTCGCCCACTATCAAGGCCGAGCCTGTTGCTTCTCCTGTCCTTGCTCCCGTCGTCACCGTCAAGGATGAAGCTGCTGCCTCGAACAGTGGCTCTCAGACGACTGCTTCTCAAGCTGCTACTCAAGCTCCGCGGGCTCACAGTCAAGCTGCTAACCAGGTCACTGCTCGTTCTCAGCCTCAGCCCTCCAACCCTGTCAATGCCCTTCCTGCTGCTGTTCCGACTTGTGAACCGCATACTCCGTTTCGATTTCAATTTCAGCCTGCCGGCCCTGGCAACGGACACACCCCGGCCGCTCCTCATAATGATTTATCCCGCCGGCCTGAGGTCATTGCCGGTGGCGCTCGCCAGCCATCAGTGCAACTCCTCACAGCTGTCAGCGGTCTTAGCAACCGCCAGCTAAACGAGCTGCTCGTCCGACATGCGTCGGCCAACGGAACACTCGCTGCCGAGGTCACGCGCTTGTACGAAGAGCGCATCCGCCTTGAAGAACGCGCCGTGGAAGGGTTCCAAACCCTCAGCAACAACCTTTGGAATGAGCTGCGCGTCACGTACAGCAACATGTCGAACCGGCGCCAGGCCGCCGCTTCGTTTCGCGTGGTCCAGGACATCTGCAGCGCCATCAACACGATCCGACAGGCTACGTTGCCCGGAACCATGTTCAGGACGCGCTGCCACGGCTTGTTCGCGCTGCGCAAGATTGGGTGGAACATCGTTCTGGCTGGAGGCGGCAAGCTCGTGCGTCAGGTCATTTGGCAGCTACGGAACGACGTGCAGCTGACCGATACCATATGGGAAATCATCTGTAATATGACCGAGGAGGAGAGGGAGCAGATGCGGGCGTGCGACTGCGGAGAGGGCAGGTTTGACGACAAGATGGATGAGCTGGCCGAGATGGCAGAAGAGCACGGGCTCTTTGCGGAGATGGACGATTGCATCGATCTGCTTTGGAATCAGCCAGAGGAAGACGATGATGGCAATGATGGCGACGATGACGACGGCTATTGGGAAGATGGCAACAGCTGGGGCTATGAATATGGGCGTGGCAACACCTACAACTTCTACAACTACTCGTGAGGACTGTGGGCATGAGTATGGCAGCTAGGATGAGTATGGCTAGTGAGACGGCGGCGGGCAAAGACGAGAATCAGATGGCAGGAATTGCTCGAAACACTGGCAGGGTGGATCAAGGCATGCACGCTAGCAAGGCTTCGCAACCAAAGGTATCAAGGAACAGATGTAACTTAAGGAATGAAACTAACAGCTTCTGGGGGTATATTTCAAACAGCAGAAGAACAAAAAAGTATTCAAGTCTTCCAAGTAATAACGTTTACTGCGGAGAAGAAGTTGAGAGAGAAAAAAAACGAAGCGAAACCACGTCGACGACGGAGGACGACAACAACAAACAACAATCCCAGCAGCTGGCAAGTGCTCATGCCGCAAAACTTTTTTGCGTCCCAGATTTTTTTTTTTTTTTTTCAGCGACTCCTCCACTCCCGAGAGTTAGAACCCAGTCGAACGCCGCGAGATAAGCGAGGAGGAATCCGAGTGGTGTGATGATTTCCAGATTTTTTCTTTTCTTTTCTTTTTTTCTTTCCTTCCTGATCGGCCGGGATGCCTGACGATAGGCTGGTAGTGGGTAGCACGCCATCGGGCGCTTGTGCCTTTAAAAAAAACGGACGGACCTCAAGCGCGGCCCTTCATCGTCAGGCAACCCACGAAGCCAACGCCAGCGACGCCTCAAAGATCCACCCGGACGATCTTGCCGCCCTCCGAGAAAGTGCCGTTGACGGGGTTGGCCAGGGCGCCCGACGTGACGACGTAGAGGCTGTTCTTGTCGGCGGAGCCGCGGCCAAAGGCGACGGACGTGAGGCCCGCGAGGTCCGAGAGCGTCTCGCCGCCAGCGAGGACGGTGACCTTGCCGTCGGCCGTGACCTTCTCGAGCGAGTTGATGAAGTTGCCCGCGACGTAGGCGGTGCCGTCGGACGTGATGGCGAAGTCGTCGCCCGTCGCGTCCGACGCAACCAGCTCGTACGAGCCCGTCGCCTTGCCCGTCGACGCGTCAATAGCCACGCGCCAGAACTGGTTGTTGGGGAAGTTGACGTAGTACAGGTAGCCGTTGGAGTAGCGGATGCCGTCGACGCCGAGCACGAGCGGGTAGCCGTCCTTGGGCTTCATCGAGTCGTCGGCCAGCACCTGCTCGTACTTGCCCGTCGCCATGTCGAGGCGGTAGACGACGCCGGTGCCGGCGTCGGAGACGAGCACGACGCCCGCGTCCGCGTCCAGCGTCGTGATGCCGTCGAGGAAGTTGCCCTCGGGGATGGCGGCGATCTTGGAGGCGGCGGGCGTCGAGGCCGTCATGTCGAGCTTGAAGACGGCGTAGGAGCCGTCGACCGACGACGTCGTCGACAGGGAGAAGTTGCCGGCAATGACGGCGAAGACGTCGTCCTGCACCTCGACCAGCGACGTCAGGCTGAGGAAGCCCTCGTCGAAGCGGTGCACCAGGCTGGCGGAGCCCTTGGCCGGGTCGACCTCGTACAGCTCCGGGCGGTCCATGAGCGTCACGAGCAGGTTGCCATTGCTGCGGACGGCGACGTTCTCGATCCAGGTGCCGTAGTCGAACTGGTGGACGGTCGAGAGGGCCGACGTCTTGGGGAGGGTGGTGGAGGCGGTGCCGTTGGAGACGGGCAGGCCCTTGCACAGCAAGGGCAGGCAGAGGCCGACTTTGAGGAAACCCGAGAGAAACATTTTTTATTGGGAGTGAGTGGTTGAGATAAGGTAGGATAAGAGGTCGAATGCTCTGTTTTTGCGGGTGCTCAGTACCATTTTGCAGTCCGCGATAGCAAGCCTTATATATAGGGGCACGCCTGAAAGAGAGGTCGTTTCACGTAGGGGGCCTGGTGTACTAATCCCGCTTCCGAAGGATTGCGGGTCGTTGGTTGGACGGAGATTAATTGAAGCAGCAGCGTTTCGCAAATCCAAATCATGGCGCGTCCCGTCTCCAGATCCCCAGATGGAGGGGGCGATCCCGACCAGGGCCCTCTTGGTCCGCAACCATGTCGGCCCCAGTACTGTGGGAAAAAGCAACCAAGAGGTTCTTGCAGAAAATCCAAACGTATTGCTTCTTTCAGCCCACGAACCCCCAGAGCCGCGCGAAACAAACTTCGACCAAGGCCGTTGCGCCGGCGATACCAACGGCACGAGAAGTAAATCGCATGTGCCGATCTCAGGGGCCCGTTGGGCGCCTCGGCCCGCTGGCACAGTCGGGCTTCGGCCCTTGGGCCCAGGGGCTGCTTCGTGGGCCAGGCGCAATTTTTGGTGCCAGTGTGCCGGCAGATGGTCAATGCCGGACCGCCGCTGCCACGGTCTGGGTGTTGTTCAGGGTTTCGCACGTGGATTACGGCCGGGTCTGTCGAGCATCGTCCCTATAGCAGCGCACGACCATGGCTTAACAAAAAGGCATGCGCAATAGGGAGCATGGACGTCGGGGAACTGGGAATATGATCGAGTTGACGATGGGATGTTTGCTGCTCCTGCACGGCTCCCTCCGCAGGCGATGGAATTCCATGTGCGCCAAGCCGCCGGATTTATTCCGCCGCCGAAAATCCGGTCCCGCCCGCTCTCACGTGACTGACTCGTCACCGCTCCCACAAGTCACAGGTCTAGCTCCTTCGTTCTCCGCACACGCCCACACCCACGCTACGACCGCATCTTCTTCGATAAACTCTCTATTATCCATCATCTCGCGCCTGTACGCCCATAGCCCCTCTTCCCGCCCACCCGTCCCATGCTAACGGCCATGTGCCTAGAATCGGCCGCCGGCGCCTGGTAGCACCTCCCCTTTCGTTCATGCCTTCCACGTCTCGACCAGAGTCAGGGCTGCTCTTAGACCTTTTGGTCTGTCAAAGCTCGGAGGGCGGCTGGCGGTGGCTTGCGGCAGGATGACCGTCGAATCCCTCGGGCGGCTCACCAGCGCACCGCGTCTGCTGTGTTGTCGCGCGCGCGCGCACAACTGCGTCGGATTCGGATCACGCCATGACGCGCATTTCGGAGCTTGGTTAGAACCAGGCCCTCTCTCGCATTCAGGCACTGGAGTCCGTCGAACCATCCCCCGGAGCCGTCTCGGGCGGTTGAGGCAGGAGCTTCATCAGCTGTCTCCTGGCGCATTGCCGTCGGCTGGGCAGTGTTGAATGACTCCCCCAACACCGCGCCGAAGATGTCCAAGGCAGGACGTCGCGGGCTATTCTTACCAAGCTGCGAGATGCGCGCGCCTTGATCCGTGTGCGTCGGAGTCAGGGCTGCTCTGGACAGCAATGTCCGAAAGCCTGGGTGGGTGGGATCTCGCACCGCATGGTGTTGGGGGGCATCGACGACTTCTCCTGGGCTGAGCATCATGGTTCACTGCGCTAATGTCTGCCTCTTCGCAGGTTTGGTCTGGTCTGATTTGTATCTCCTCGCGACGTCAGCGCTGCTGCGCCTCCCCCTACCATGACCATGACGAAGCACGACTCCGGCGATAATAATTGGCTCATCAATGAACGAGTAGTGGTGCAATGGAGTTGCCCGGACAGGGGCCACAGCGACTATCTCGGATACTCAGCACCTGCGCGCTGGGGGTCTCATCTGTCTCTGTCGCTCGGCGTCAACGTTTCGAAACGCGAATCGCTGGTCTGGTTTCGGGTCCCCGTGCGTTTCATGTCTGACTCGGAGAAGGGTTCGACAAAGACGACGCTCCACTACGCTGTTGATCCAACAAGGCTGGATGCAGACGAACAGACAGAAGTCCCTCCTACGGTAGGCTTTTCGCTCAAGAGCGGCAGCGTCTGCCGGTCCGACGGCGACATTGCGCGACTGAATGTCGAACTTGCGAAGCCGGGTGCCGTGATCATGCCAAAGGATTGTGCTCTGAAACCCTTCTCAGACATTAGCCGCGAGGTGTTGATTGCGCTGCGATCGTTATCTCAAGCAACTCGGTTCACAGTCTATTTCAACCGACAAGCTGTATCAGTAAGCCGTTTAGGAAAGTTGTGTCAGATGGTGAACGATAAAAGTCTCTCGTCTCGTCCCCTGGATCTGCGATCAATGTACCACGGCAATGGCGGCGAACTAGAGGCCTGGGCCAATGTGGGGTTGCCGCTCGAACCGGCTGTTGCTCCGTATAAAGGTGCCGGCGAGTCAAGAGAACCCACCGCGCCGCCGTCTGAAGGGCTCCGCGGCGGCCAGGCCGATGATGCCAGTGGTGGAACTCACCATGTCTCAGCAGTTTCATCAGAGGCAAATACTGCTGCCCCGCCGGACACTACCCCGCCGGCATACGAAGAAGCTGTGGCTGAAGCACCGGTGCAGCCTTGCCCGGCGCCGACTCAACCTGAAGCGGCAGTACCTGACGGGGAAAGGTCGATTCATGCCGGGCAACCTCTGCACGAGTCGAGCGGGCAAAGGGCCGAGGGGACGAGAATAGAAACAGCGGGCAGAACGGTGACGATTATTTCCTCAGACGACGAGGTTGACGACTGCGAGTTTAATGACGAGCCCACTGTACCCCCCACACGGAAGCGGAAAGCTCCCCGGAAGTCGAGCCTGGCCAAGAAAGCGGCCTCGAAAGGTAAGAACCTAGTGTCCATTGGCCATGCCGTCATTGCGTGTTAACATGGAGTCCGGCGACACAAGCGCGGCCCACGAAACACGTCAAGTTCGACCTACTGACTAGAGAGCAATGGATCCCGCCGGGCCCATTGTCCAATAAAACGCAACCATCACTATCCGACAAGAACAAAGGGGGACCCGGAAACGCGCAAGCAGTAGCAGCAACAAAAGCAGCAGCAGAGGCCAGTGCCCCCGTTGCGAGGCGTCGCCCGCCCGTCGAGCCGCTATCCGATGAGAAGTCGCGCCTCCTGGCCGCGCTCCGCAAGTGGTTCGCCTGGGCCTGGACCGTGGATGGTCGGGCACACGAGGGCGTGGCGGCGGCCGAGCTCCTGCCCCTGGGCCGGCATGCGCGGGACGGCAACGCCGGAGCCTTCTTCGCCGCGAGGGCCGTATGCTCTGCGCGCGTCTTGACGACCAAGGCGGCAGCGGCAGCGGCACCACCGTCTTCCGAAGAAGTAGTGGCGGACGGAGAAGGGCGGCACGACGGTGCCAGTGGTGGCCGTGGCCCCCACGCCGCGGAGGCGCCGCTGTTTAATGAGCTGGTGCGCTTTTTGGCCTGGGCGGCGGCGATTGACGCGGATGCGGAGACGCGCTTGACGGATGGGCTGCTGGTGCTGGGCCGGTGCGCGCATGCGGGCGACGAGGAAGCGTTTAGAGACGAGTGCGCGGGGTGCGCTGCTGAGGTGCTGTTCTGGTGCGCGGAGGCGGAGGCGGAGGCGACGTAGTGTGGAGGATGTACATGGTACCTTAGTGACGCTGCTGCACGTGGAAGAGCTCCGGGGTTCTAGGCGCGGTTGGTTGGTTGGTACAATAGTGATGGCGCTGGCTGCACGACTGCGCGACTTGCTTGCAGCACTCACCCATCCATCCATCCATCCCTCCATCCAACCAACCAACCATTCCAGGTTGCGCCGCCGATCCACGCACGCGCGCACGGAACCTGCCGACGACCGTCGCCGCCTGCGCGTACCCGTCCGCGCACACAAACAACGTACAATGGAAGTAGCAGTGGTACCTAGCACAACAACGAGCAAACAATACCCCTCGCCCTCGCGCGTGTCTCCCGAGCAATACGGACGAGCAAAGCACCGCATCCGGCATCCGGGCACTCCGCAGGCAGGCAGGCAGCCAGCCAGCCAGCCCCAGCTCCAGCTCCAGCTACAGCTACAGCCACCGCTACGCGCCATTGGCAATACAATAGCAATAGCAATACCAAAGCCGATGCCAATGCCAATAAGATTCCCCTCGTCGCAGCTGGCGGCTCGCGCAGGCGGCTGGCCAGCCGCAGCAGCAGGGGCCTCTTCGTGGCCTGGGCTCTGGCCGCTCACGTACCGTACCTATCGTATCGAGCAGCGACTCCACTCCACTCTCGCCTGTCTGTTTGTCCCGCACGACGCAATACAGTCAATTCGCAATACGCAATATTGCTATTGCGCGCGGTATAGATGGGGTGGAGTATAGCTGGGCGCTGGTATTGTATGGGTATGGGTATGGGTGTGCAATGCAATAGATGGGCTGGTGCGCGGTACGATGCGAGGACTGTTGTGTGTGTGCATACTGCATGCCTATACCCGGCCGTGCGCACATATAAATGCTCTGGCTGTTCGTGGTGGCAGCGAGCTCTCGATAGGAGGGTGCTCGGGGCTTGCAATACCGCGCAATGCAATGCGAGGCGATACGGGCGGACGAGCGGCGGACGAAAGCGTTGGCGACGTGCGCACGCGAGCGAAAGTGCAAGTGCAGCCAACTCGCGTGCGTACGGACGAGTACAAAGTTGCGGTCGCGTCGCGACGGCACCCCCACGATGGATGTCTCCTGAAGAAGCTACCTACCTACCTACGACGATGACATGGCTACGTATGCATGTACCTATATTCTCACTGGCGACAGGCTGGCTGGCTGGGTGCTTGCGATTCCTGCCGGCAGGAAATGGATGGATGGATGAAGAAACAGACGAAAGGACCAATGTACATGCACATGCGCATGCACGACACACCTGTTGCGAGCTTGCGTGCTTGCGCGTCACGTCAGGGCCATCTACAATGACTGACATGACTGACGTGCATGACGAGGCTGCGGCCGTTGCAAAGCGAGACGAAGCGGCGCGCAACGATGAAGTGACTGCCCGCGCCCGAGCTACTACCGCCTAGGTACGTGCGTAAGGATGTAGCTCGCCAGCGGATGCGTTTGTCTGCCTTGTCTGTCTCTGTCTCTGTCTCTGTCTATCTGTATGTATGTTGCACGGCAGCGAATGTGCGGGGGATGGCATGGCATTGTCATGTCATGTTGAGTGAGCGAGTTTGGTGTTGTGTGTTAGGTAGTCTGGCAGACACGATAGCAGCGATGGCGGTGCGGTGGTGTGATGATGGAGCGGAGTTGTCTCCGGCTTACTCGGCAGGCCGGCCGAGCAGCTGAGTGGTCGTTTTCTTTTTAGTCAAAGTATCAATCAGGCAATGGAGGCAAACGGCCAGGCAGTAGGTAAGGTAGGTAAGGTAGGGTACTTGGGGACATCTGACTGAGCGATTGACCGAGTGCACGACTGCTCGGCATGCACGGCGCAAGGCAAGAAAGCAGGAAAGGAAGTAAGCAAACAAACAACCACACGCGCTCTTGCATGAGCCCACCCAAACAAATTCTTGCGCCAAAACCTTTCAGCGGACAGCGGACAGCGGGCAGCTCATTACGGATTACAGCGGACAGATAGCATGCATGCATGCATGCATTCCCGCCCACATGAATGCGCGGCCAGCCGCAGCGCTCCGTACCGTACCGCACCGGGCTGTGTAACCAGCACCGCGCAGATCGAATTTCTTGTTTGCGTGCGTGCGTGCGTTGCATGCGTGCCGTGCCACTCACCCGATCGAGGTACCATGCCGTACCGCGCGTGCGTGCATCTTCGTTCACACACCCCGCCACCGAGGCGCCTGCATCGCGGAGCGGCGACCGTGTCCGCGGCCACGCACGTGTGTGTCCACCTATGTTCGGATCTAGAAGCACGTACATACATAGATGCGAAGGGGGGAGGGGAGGCGGGGAAGCGCAAGGACACGCCTGCCTGCCTGCTACGTACATCCTTGCTGTGCGCCCGGGCGGAGACGCGTCCAGCCCGGCGGCGCGTTGCGTCTGTGGTTGTGTGCCGCCGATGGGCGCGGGAAGGCGCTGCTGCCCTGAACTGACCGATGGAGCTGAGTGAGCGCCGCCCGGCGCCGACGCCCGGCTCCTCGTTCAGAGGGCGGATGGGTGACTGCGTGAGGACAGACGGGTGGCGGCCTGATTGATTGATGGACTGATTGACTGACTGACGGATAGGTGTGTGGGTGGGTGGATGGGCGAGGTTTAAAAACGGCTGGAGACTGCAAGGTAATTGAGAGGCGTGAGCAAGCCTTTGAAGTCCTTTCTACTTATCTCCTCTCTCTCTCTCGCTCTCTCTTTGTTGGGTTTTGTCTTGTCCTGTCTGTACTGTACCAGACTCTAAACAAACACCAACCGTCCATCCATCCTAGCCAGTCCATCGGCTCAACTTTCACCCACCCCCCACCACACCACACACACACACACACACACACACA